AGAAATTAAATTAAATATTAATTTTTTATTTAATTAAGTGATTAAATAAATAATTAAACAAAGTAATTAAACAATAAATAAATAACATACATAACTAATTAAGACAATTAATTAAAGAAATATTTAAATAAGACATTAAAATAAATATTATTATTTTTATTTAAATAAGTGATAATTTGAATAAAGTAATTAAATATTAAATAAATAATATACATAACCAATTAAGATAATTAATAGAGAAATATTTAAAAGAGAAACCAAATTAAATATTAATTTTTTTAAGTTAAGGGTATTTTTGTCTTTTCAAACAAAATTCTATTTTTGTAATTATATAAACTACTTAAGGGTATTTTTGTCTTTTACTCAATAATAGGCTATTTTGGTGATAGGCAAATTTTTTTTGGTTAAAGTGAAAAATTGGCCCTTTGACTTGGCCAAACTAAAAATTACCCCCTTTTGTTGTGCTTTTTTCTTTGAACAAATAAGAAATTTCTATTACTGCTGAACATTTAACGTATATATTTATCAATTGTCTTTGTAGTAGAGATATTATGTCAAACAGGGTTGATCTACCACACCATTTCTTTACAATTATCGCAAATTCATTGGACTAACGATCGTCTGGTGAGTTCTAAAATGATCTCTTTGTTAGCATTTATTCATTGGGCCATAATATTTGTTTTGTGAGTTCTAAAACTAAATATAAAGTAAATAATATTCCTTACAAGACTTATGTTTTTTTAAGTCGATCCCAAGAACTTTTTTGCACCGCTTGGGACACAAACATACTGATGCAGTACGTTTGATTGGTTATGATGGAATTATCTACTTGTGATGGTCATAAAATAATTGTGAGCCCCTCTTTCACTTGAATCTCTTCTACATTTATCTTTCTCAAACTACATGTATGATCCATTTTCATATTTGTTTTTCTCATCTAATTCGAAATTCTGCAACTTATAGATTTGTCATTCTGTTTTGTAGAATGTACCTAGGGCCTTTGCTTGATTGTTTCTACCAAATTTGTCTAGAGTGTTCAAATTCATGATAGTTCACATCGTAATTGGTCATTATGAACGAATCTAAGAACCAATGGTTTTATGCGACATTTCATCGTAGGATGGGTGGATTATATTAGAGAGAAACATCTTCAAATAGGTGACACGTGTATTTGAACTTATGGAAGATGAAATCCCAATGTTCGTGGTTTACAAAGTGTATCACACTGATGGGAGTTTCACTCTTACATAAATTGTACATTCTCATTCGTAGTTTTCATGTTTGCTTATTTTGGAACATTTGTTCTGTTCTCTTATGTATGAACACTATATAGCTAGATCCATTGGGATTTTGATTTTTAATTCGCTTCTATTCTTCTTATTTCAAGATCACACCCAAGTTGTGGATTCTGCTCATTCTGAATAGGTTGTACAAGAAATTTGATTTAATTACTTATAATTAACCTATGCGATGATATCCTACATTTGGACTTCGTGCAATGCTACATCATCGTCATTTGGAGACTGACATGCTTCTAGCTCAAATTATTCCAAGTAGGTAAACAATTTTATGATTTGTAATTTTATGAATAATATACAAAATTATTTATTCCCACTCTTAGTGTCTTTACGACAATCTAAACAATGAGATATTCTAAGTTTTTATGAACGACATTTTGTCATAACTCAAATGTTTGATACTTTTCTCGTTTCCTTTATTTTTGTTTTTCAAAAATATAACTTTGTGAAACTAAAAATGTTTCCTCTCACTTAATCTTGGCTCTATTGTGTAACTATTATTCTATGCATTTCTACTTTAGTATGTGTGATTTCATTCTTACACTTCTATTTACTTAATGAAGTAGCACATTTTTCTGCATGCACATCTAGGGAGTCAATTATGGACAATAGTGCTTGAGCCTTTTTCAAAGCATTCATTACTAAATTTAGAAAGAACTCTCTCAAATGCCTGCCATAATTTAAAAGAGCAATCAAATATCTTCACGAAAAACTTTGCTTTCTTTATATCTACCAAATGAACATTATATAGCTCAAACCAACGATAACTTTTTTGTTAAAATATTTGATTGTTCTTTTAAATTATATTGTGATTTCGAGAGACTTCTTTCTAATTTAGTGATAACTACTTTGGAAGAGGCCCAAGCTCTATATTTTAACATGATAATACAATGAGGTGATTCTTTAACTAACATTTATTACATGGCATTATTTTTCCATAGTACCATTTGTTGCTTTTATGTTCTATTTTAGAATGGACTTCAAAAGGTCAATTTAATTGACTCTAATTATGGGCCAATACCTAGCCCCACAAAATCCATTTAATTTTTCTTTGATTTATATTCTTACTAATATTATGCGGGTAATATTATACAAGTAAGTGAA